ATATATATATATATATTTATATATATATGATATTTAGCATATGTATTCGAATTTATTTATAAAGCATTTATATAATAAAAAATCATTTTAATAATATGTACTATTCAAATATTTATGTTAACAATTGCAAATTTATGTCAATAGTCGACAACATCGACATATAGTTGCAATTACCTCTGGGTTCCTTCGATAGTCACGAAAATTTGTCCAGAATTAAAATATCTTTAAATAATAATTAATATTGTCGGTGGTATATGATAGATCGAATATTATAATGGTTATTTTTTTTGCCAAAAAAGAATATAATTGTTTCAGTTTATATATATTTAAACAATTTAAATAAATTAATGTTATAGATGTCAAATATCGGATTAAGTAAATTCATCAATAAATAGGTGTATAAAATGTAGAATATTTATTTCATAAACAAAATATAGTATTCTATTAAATAAATAAAATTAAGATATTGGCTCTTTTATTTATAAAATTATAAACAATTATTTTAATCCTAATTATATACTTAATACGAGTCTATAGACTCGTGTTCGTGTAATATATAATCTCTCTCGATCTACATTTTATTTTAATCAATTTCTTTAAAATTATTTTTTCGCTTTTGCTTTTGCTTTTTTTGTTATAATTTCCTACTATTATTTTTTTCATTTCGGTTCCTTTTTCACGAGGGATCTAATGATACCTTTTATCAGAATAAAATATATACGCAATTGAGGCCCCAGTAACAGCTGCTAGTGCTTACTTTACTGCGCAAGCCTCGTGTCTCCCAACACTAGACTGCATATACACAAATACAAAATGCCGAGATTGATCGCTAACAATCGTGCCCTCATTGAGAGGCGATAACGAAGCTCGCGCATGCGCCAATCACACGAAGCGAATCTCATTGTGGACAAAAAATGCGAATGACGTCCCAGAACGAATGGGTTGCGGAACGCGAATTGAGGTTGACGTCGCGCCTAATTGAAATCTAAATTAAATACCTTTTATAAATACCGATTAAAAATATTTGGACGAAAACACGTAGAGAAATAAAGAGAGAGGAGTTTTCGAGATTGATATTTCAACATATAGAATCTCAATAATGTAGAGATTTTACGAATGTATATATATAACTCTTATGTTATAAATTGCAAGAGTCTCTGCTTAGATATAGGTTAATGTTTTCCAAACAAAGAGAACAACATGAGCACTGTTAAAGACACAAGATCCGAATATGCAGCGAGAGATGCTGAAGAGGAATCGTGCGGCAAGGCCGAAGTGAAGTCTGAAGCCACGCGTCTCAGTCATCAAGAATTAGTGAAGTTAACCAAAACGACTATAAACAATCTCGTCGAGAGTGAACCGTTGCTCTCCGGATTGCCCTCGGACGTCACGATAGAAGAGCTGAAATCGCAGATCGCGGTTGCGCAAGGGCAAGCCATAACTTTATTCCTGAATCGCGGTGAACTGCCGAGGCTCGCAGTAGTGGTAATAATCTTACGACGATCAACGTTTCCACAATCAGAGACTGACTGTACATCTGTCACTTTGATAACACTTTCCCTCATTTTTGTTTCAGGTATCTCCACACAACACAACAGTGCTCGATCTGAAAAAGGCCATCAAACGACACATGAATTTGGCATTGAAGAGAGAGAACGTGGAAAAGAAGATAAGCTGGAAGCACATCTGGAAGAAGTATCACCTTTGCTTCGACGACATTAGACTTTCTGACGATAACGAAAACATTAAAGCTTATGGTATCGCCAATAAGGTGGAATTACAGTTTGCGAAGAGGCGCAGGGAAAAGAATAAATTAAAAAGTTAGCAGTATACTTTTGTATGCAAATTATTATTCACGCTGTAGTTAGTATTTCGCTTAACATTCCTAATTTATAGCGCCTGACGGTTGAGATTGTGCAAATAATAATTAAATAAGTATTGTGTAAATACAAATAAATATCTTTCGAGATCTTATAATTACAAACCGTGTTATGTTTCTAATTACATTGACATTAGTCTGTCTGTGTTTCTTCGGGCGTAAGAATTTCGCAGGCCAGTCCCGGTATGCAATCCTCCAGCATGAGGCAACTCAGCTCGAATCCGACTGACCTCTTCTTGTAATTCGTTACAATCAGCTTCTTCAAGTTCGGCACTCTGTACAGACATTCCAGTCCCCTCTCGGTGATCTTCTCGCAGCCGGAGATGTCCAAGTGCTCCAATTCGGGGAGCTCGGCCGACAGCTTGTCCAGGCCCCAGTCGTCGATGTTCTTGCAGTCCTTAAGACTGAGCCACTTGAGCTTCGTGAGGCCGCAAAAGTTGCTCAGGCCTTCGTAATGGAGATCGAACCCGTTGACGTCCACCGCCTCGAGGATGTAGCGCGGATCGTAGTTGACGGGTAAGTCGTACCGGCCCTTCTCGTTCCGTTCCGTCCAGTGGGCGTCGCCCCTGAACCTGACCCGGCCGCCGCGGTAGACGAGGAAGTGAGCGGTGGCCAGGTTGGCGCCCAATATCTCGTGCCTCCGCGGGTCGAACGACTGGCTGAGCTTGGCGTACGAGACCTTATGGTGCCTGAACCATTTGAAGATATTGCCGTAGGTGAAGTCGGTCTCCTTGGGCGCGGACGTGGGAAACCAGAAGAACGACTTGGGCTTCTCCGGGTCGTCCTTGAATTTGGGCGTTACCGCGTCCTCCTCGTTCTCCCGCCACAGGTACTGCCGTTTCTCATGTTCCACGCCGTAGCCGCGTGCCGCCTGAGCGAGCACGTTATCCGGTAAGCGCGAACGCTCGCACAGCCGTTTACCGCGGGCGAATGCCAATCGCCTCGCTAGCATTATCAGTTAGAACCTGAACCAACTCGGAGTAAGCTTTCGGTCAGAAAACGACACGCGCGTACCGTCAGAGACGTCAGAGAGAAGCATGTACCGTATTCTAACCTAACCTAATCTTACTCGATCCAACGTGACCGATGAAACAGCTGATTTTGATTTTTCGCTCGATTGGATCCCTTTAAGTTTACACATGATAGAATTTTCGGATACTATTATTAATAATATTACGGATAATATTACGACTAGAAGTCTTTTTTATATCGACTAAGAATTTAAAGAAATCGCCTTTTTTAATTCCTTAATGCATTTTTTATCAGCATTTTATCAACATTTCTTTTTAATTACAATTAAAACATGCAGCTTTTATAATTATAAAATTAATGCATTTTTTCAATTTAAAGAAATCGCCTTTTTTGATTCCTTAATGCATTTTTTATCAACATTAACATTTCTTTTCAATTACAATTAAAACATGCAGCTTTTATAATTATAAAATTGTAATTGAAAAGAAATGTTAATGTTGATAAAAAATGCATTAATCAAAAAAGACGATTTCTTTAAATTCTTAGTCGACATAAAAAAAGACTTCTAGTCGTAATATATCCGTAATATTATTAATAATAGTATCTAATACTAATAATAGTATATTATTAATAATAGTATAGGCGATTTCTTTAAATTGAAAAAATGCATTAATTTTATAATTATAAAAGCTGCATGTTTTAATTGTAATTGAAAGAAATGTTAATGTTGATAAAGAATGCATTAAGGAATCAAAAAAGGCGATTTCTTTAAATTATGACGGAAATAAAAACCTGACAGGTGCATCTGACATCTGTAGATAAATAATGTATATTGTAAACTTTATTTTTTATAACTCTATATTCTCCTTGCATATAAACGTATATTCCTATTTTGTACATGAGATTTTTCGAGACCTTGGGATTATTTGTCAGTCTACAATCATTATATGAATTTATGTAAACTTATTACGCATGATTAGGGAAAGCTACAAGCAGGACATTGCACTTTTGCAGTAATGCTAGCGTCAACATTACTTAAAAAAATATGAGCCGTTCCGAGTTATTTGTACATCATAACATCCGGGGATTGGTACATGCACATGTACGCGTCGCAAAGCAGACGTTTCGCGTGCTCTGGTAAGTGACGGTCGTCCGTCAATTCGGTCAAGTAAGTCCCCCCTTCTTCGCTCAACCAGTAAGGAAAATCTGGACATGGCACCATCTCCGGTATATTGTATCCATTTTGCTCTCCTAATAATAATAAAGGAGTTTATTAGTAAAAAAATCATACTAAAATAGTCATTTCTATGATTCAATATTTAAAATATACAAAGGAAGTTACATAAATTCGGCACGATTTAAATGGCTGAATATACGGATTTAAAATTCATATAGAAATATTATTAGAAGAAATCCAGACTGTAAAAGGCGTTGTTAAAATTTATTTGGAAGTTATTTTATTGGTATTTATATGAGTGAGAAAAGAGTACCTTTTCTGTCGGCCATGGAATCGAAAAAGCACCACGGGGCCTCCGAGCCGGGACCGCATTTTACAAACGAAACGTAATGCGAAGTTTCGATGCAGACCACCGCGGACAGCTCCAAATACAGACGCGGTACGGGACAATGTTCTTGCAGAATTGTGAATTCCACTGGTACGTTCAGCTTCTTTGGCTCGTGATTCGTTCTTCGTTCATGACGGTGTACCTGAGGGAAAGCACGCAAAAAGTAATTTGATGTCTTAGACAGCTTACGTTTACATATCAATCTCATAAGCTCTACGAACTTTTTCAAGGCACTGTAAACAGAAAGCTATACTTTCGAGACCGACGCCGCATTGCCCGTAGCACTCCTTGCACTCGAACTCCGCCAATTTGCCGCACACTGTACACTGTCTGGGTGCTGCGAAACGATACGTAAATATTACTGCGCGAATGTCTCGAATAGAAAGCAATTATTGCAATTTACTGTACGACGTAACGATACTCAACAGTCTTCGATAATGTCCGTCACGTCGAGCAGTAACGTAGGCTGTATCTTCTGATACATTTTAAATGATTTTCCGAAGCGCGGCATTTGTATGATGAGACACGAAGGGACCTCCTTCAATCTGATGTTACTGGTTAGGAAACTCTGTTCCAACAACTGTTGCACAGTCGGTAGATTTAAATGATCGTCCTTTTCGACAAACAGCTGGTAATGGTAGGCGTCCTGTCCGGAGCTTAATTTGAGGAATGGTTCGGCGTTCAGAATCTGAGCGACTAGCGACGTTAAGAATTCCTCAGGATCTAAATATTAAAATATATGAAAAATCAGCAGGAGCGATTAAAAGTAGATATAATACTTCGAAATATAAAAGTGAACCTTTTTCTTCGCTAGTGAGGCCGGATACTGACGACAGTTTTTCGAGCAACGTTCTGAGCTTCATTACACGATCCGCTCTGACGAACATATTTTTTCTCAATGGGTTTACAATCTCCTCTCTCAAGACCCTCTGCACTTCTTCGTACTGCGGACAATCTTTTTCATTCGGTGGGCTAAAAATTCACGCAACAATTTTTTAAAAAGAACACTACAGTTACTGTTGTATTTATGTAACACGCTCCATTTTTTCTCTCAAAGAGAAATAATCCAATCAATAAACATATACTCGATTACGTCGAAACAAAATTAATTACCGAAACAGGAGATTGTCAAATACGCTGGTAAACGTGAACATGCTGAAAAGAGTAGCGTCCAAATAGCACGAATTATGATGGCCTTGAATTCCGCGATACTTCCCACATATACTTTCCAAGTCTCCCTTGACGGAGATAGGCCGCACGATACCCGTTATCACTGAGCTCTCCATATTACCGAAATTATTATCGTTATTTATGAGCGCAGGCCGTTCGTTGAGCTTCGTCTGGTTTATGAAAAATAATTCAAAGTTAACAAATATATTTTTTAATATAGAAAATACCAGATAGCTCGTTCTACTTACGTTTTCGTAATGAGAACAGTGTTCAATGTCCGTGAATACAGCTCTGTAAGGCCTACAATGAAAATACCTGATGTCTTTGTAAGTTCCGTCAGTACCTAAAGGATGTCCATTATCCTATGAATGACACAACGTTCGAGTTCCATTGTTCTTTGTTCTTTTGTAAAACGTAAAACAGAGTCCAATTAACAAATCCATTTTGCTCACCAGCTCGACAGCTGCCATCAATTTGCCAGGGCTTGTACCGTGCGGCGTGCCGATCCATCGAATAACTCCGTAATGGATATCAGAATCCACAAGTACTTTCACATTCGAGCCCACCATCAAATCTCCCTTATTCTCTACCCTATTGAATTTCTTGATCTCGTTCTTCTCACCATTACCTATCGCAATTAACAGTTTGTTGTAATCAATTGTCTGTGTTACTCAAGTATTTTTATGTAATTCAAAGCTTAAAAACAATGTAAGAAAGTAAATGATCACTTTTCCGATGTAAAAATATAAATATTATTACGGAAGGAAGAAATATTTGGGTTATAAAAGTGCAGTAGAGGTAGCATGACAATTGTATCTTACTGTAATCCAACAAGCTTACGCCACGCGCAGCTTCCGCATCACTGTATACATTTGATTCTATATCACTACTCCATTTATGCTCCAATATAAAAATAGGAATGTTCTGCAGTTCTGCTGCCATTGTTAAACAAAAATGCAAACAACGGCAGAGCGCTTTATAACCTGGCGGCAGCCCTCTAGGAAGTCGGGCTAGGTTTTGTACGTCTATTTTTAAATACCTGAGCTATTATTAACTCCCTCTATCGCACGGAGGAAATTAAAGTCCGGCATCTGGCTAATTTCGTTTTAGGATTTTTAAGGGAATTCTTAAGAGAAAAGTGTATTTATTGCTTTTATACGATTGTGAAATTACCGCATTTAAAAAGAGCATGATCGACGGTTTTGGAGTAGTTATTAATATCATTTTCAAGATCTGACTTCCCGGCTTGATTACGTTCTTTTAGTATATTGACAGATTCCTGATTGTTATTCTTGTTGTCGTCAAATAGAGTAAATTGTTCTAATAAAACAGCTGGGGTACTGTCAAGCACTGATTTTTTCTTATCGTTGTTATAGTCAGTTGTATTATTTTTCGAGAATGATGCTGAAATACAAAAATGAGCAAATTGCATGATTATAAAATTAATGAAAAAAACATAGATTAGTAAATGAATGATTAATGAATTAATTAGTAAATACTTTTTTCAATGCTGCCAGAGATTGGGTCGGTTTCCTTATAAGGTAATATATTATTTATAGTAGCGAATATTGTAGCAGCATTCCAATGTGTGGAAATAAAATATTCTTTGGTCAACAAAGATGTATTAGATAGTTCCTGATTTCCCTGTAATACATATACATAATTGTCTTTAATTGCAATATTAATGCATCAAATTTCATTTATTATGTTGTAAAAAAAATTTATCCTAAGTCACACACTTCCTCTTTACCAGCGCATGTTCTATAATCAGTTAATCTTTTGATATAAAAGTATAATTCTATACTTAATATATGTTTTCATTTTTTGAGATAAATATTTTTATAATAAATATCATTAAATATCTCTAAAAATAAGACTCATTTAAAATTAATTCAAAAGCAAAGCTATGTCATTTGCTTGCTTATTTTTCGAAATTTAGCTAACTGTAATTTTATTCATTTTGTATGCTTTTACAGACAACGTTTAGAGGCACAAGGAAGGGCTGTGACTTTTGTATGTACATTCTATTTTTAAGTTATAAGATCTTTTAACGTAAGAACAGCAGCGACTAGAAGCAGCTTTAGTCAATTCACCACTAATTCAAGGCCAAAGTAATGTCCCGATCCGAGTTGCAGCACAGGTCCAATATATCTGACAAACGCCAATTCCTTGGCGCGCCTATTAGCGGGATCGGAGCAGTACCAGACTACGTCGTTCGCCGACACATTTCTCATCTGCTCGCACAGGGCAGAGTCGTTCGCCAGTCGGATTCTCTCCTGCGGCGACTGAACGGCGAGCAGGTACTGCCAGACCTTCTGCGACACGGGGATCAGGTCGTACTTGTGGCAACGCCATTCCGTGCCGCACCAGGTCTTAGATCCGCCGACGGTGTCGGTCACGCGCACCCTCAGCACGCTCTCCTTCAAATCCTCCAGTGCTTCTACAAGCATTCCCAGACGCAACTTGTTAACGTTAACGTCGCACGCACCGAATATCCGTATCAGTACCGTGTCTTGCTTGGCAACATAGTGCTGCAGGACCCGGCGTTCCTTGCTACTATCCTCCATGGCCCGGTTTGCTAAACGATCATCGTCACGTCGAAGGAAAACGTCGATCCCGTTCGCCCTCAGGTCAACCTCTCTCTCTCTCGACGTTCACCACTTCCCTCGAGAATTACATGATTGTCGGGCTGATAATTTTATCTTCCCTCGAACTTCCGATTCTTCGGTTACCCTTTTCTCGTGTTACATATTTCGATGGATCGCCGACATAATTTACATTAGCGTTTTGCATATGCAATGCGGAGAGATCGGCAAAAATCGAAAAGCAGAAGCGAACGCTGTCAAACTGGCTAGAGAATTTCCACTTCGTATGTTGAACGTATACACAAACAAAGGGTCATGAATTCCTCAACGCGTTATGTTGGTCACACATCAAGGTGTGCTTCCCGTCTAAATTTCGTATAAAAGAAAAATATATTTATTAATATTTTTATTATATATATATATATATATATATTTATTAATAAATATAATAAATAATACTAGCAATATATAATATAATTATAACACCAACGAAATACTATTAAAGACCGTCAATCCTGGACAAATTTTCACAACCATCAAAGGGATCCGAAGGGTCTAGAAGTAATTAATTGTAGTGTTATCGACTATTTAACATATGTAATCAATTTGTTAACAAAAATATTTCAATAATACATTATTAAAATTATAAATTTTTATTATATAAATGCTTTATAAATGTCACCGCGACGAGATGCTATATTAATTAAGGACCGACATTCTCAAGGTTTTTAAGGTTTTTAAGGTTGTTAAGGTTTTTATTTTTTAAGGTTTTTTAAAGTTTTTTACCCAAATTTAAGCATTACAACATCGATATATACACATGTTTGATTATTCTCTAAAGAAAGTGAAAACAAATATATGGTTATACTTATAATAGTTAATTTTATTTAAAACTGCATTTTTATAGTTACCACACGAGTTCGATTATCCAGAGAGATGGTAAAACAGTTGGAAAAAAAATGTAATTTTACGGCAATATATTTGATATTATAGCATTATAAATATTCATATTTATTTATAAAGCATTTATATAATAAAAATTATGATTTTAATAATATATTATTTAAATAAATCGCAAATTTATGTCAAAAGTTGATAACATCGACACTCTGCAATTACCTTCGGGCCCACCGGGCTCATTTGTTGGCACGAAAATTTGCCCAGGGCTGTCAGTCTTTAAAGGTATCTCGTCGGTGTATATACGTTTATATATACGTTTTGCAATTCGTAATTTTTAAATGATATATAATCGACAGCTCATCAAACTCGAGTGATATAAAAGATTGGCCCATATATATAATTAATGTATATATGATCCCATAGACATATATCAATGCATTTCATGCATTTCAAATATAAAAGAATATAATAATTTGTAGATTGCTTGTCCCATTCATATTTTTTACTTTTTCTCTCTCAGAACGCATTTTGTAAATATTTTTGATTTTGTTACGAATTAGTACATACATACAGTCCCGAGACATTTTTTAGAGATTTCTAAAAATACATTCTCGTTCGCGTCTTGTATCCCATACTTCGTGGTTCATGACGGTTCTTTCAGTTCTTTGCCGCGTAATTTTATGAAAGTTCCCCGTCGGCGTCGCGCCGATAATTGTTAGGTTAGGTGGTTAGGATCATGGGCGAGACCGGCCACGCGGATATGCTGCCCGCCGACACGACCCGACTGACCGCCGATTCCGGCTTCAGCGAATTGCTGAGGTCGGCGGAGCAGCTGTCCGCTGCCGTCGAGGGAAACGAGGATCTGCCGCAGGTCGAGAGAAATCTGCGGCAGATACTGGAGGCGTCCAACGAGCTGTGGTCCCGCGTCACGCAAACGAGCACGCAGGACAACGAGGCGCAAGCGTAAGTTCATCCCTACGATTTATTATATCGGATACGAATGATAGACTTCTCACAGCAATTCTCGTAATTGCTTTGCGCTGCTGATTTTTCGTTGCATTTCAATTGCTGTGAGAAATCTGTATAATGGTGTGATAACCATTGTGTCAACGCCTCAACGATAAATTTTAACTGTGATTTAACTGCGATCTTTATCTGCCTGACTATATTTTTTCTATCTCACACCTCTCGTCCTCGGGCTTTACTTGATTTTGATGTCGTCACTGCAAAAAAAAAACGCACTAATAGATTTAAATACGGCAGAGTAATAATTCTGGATTCAGGAGTTTGTATTTCTTTTAATATTGTCAATTTTCACTGAAGATAAGGCTCAAAATAAGACTCGGAACGTTCGAAGAATGTAAAAGAATCAAAAAACAAATTTTAAATATATCACGTATTTTAATAATATATATTAATGAATTCTATATATAATTCTTGCACATTTTATTTATTATTAATTATCATGCCGCACTCTCATTGCCCTACTATTAATTATTATCTTTCAATTAAAACATTCCATGTTGAATATCGATCACACTGTGTACTTTGAAAACACCCAATGTTAATGTAAGAATAAATGTTTCTTTCAGTCATGTCTTACTAGGCTCCCGAGGAGTAGATCTGTCTCAGATCTCGCAGAAGTTAAATTCGCTCAGTGCTAGACGCACGTTCGAGCCTTTAGATCCTATCGCGGACACCGACATTGTCAGTTACCTTAGAAACGAGAAGGAGAATGCGATTCTTTCCATTATCGAACAGGTCCACAAGGATGTGCGTAAAATAATAATGATAATTAAATATTCATATATTTTTATCCGTATGCCATGAAGAAATTGACATTGGACTTATTTTGTTCAGACATTCGAGCTTACGAGGGCTCAACAAATGGAACATATGCTGGGCGAATGGAAGCAAATGCGCTTTGAGATAATAAACGCCATGACCGCGCCGTCTGGCGAACTGGTGGATTTACGCGGTGCTCCGCAGCGTACAAAACTAGCCGGTTCGATGGTCAGCGGTCTCTCCAGCATAGAAGTCGCCTATGTGAAGGAATTGCAGACCTATAACGATCACGTCCTGAGGGGGGTAACACGGCCCAGCCTGTTTAACGCGTTCTGCAAAGCCTCCGAATCCTTTAACGACAAGAAGATCGTGGATCTATGGCAAATGGTGAAGTGTATGGTCGATATCCCACCGACGCCCAGAGGAGATCAAATTAAATCGAGAAGCAGCTCTGCGATCGAACAGAGAATCGTCCTGCAGGCCAGAAAGTATCTGGAAAATCGCTACAGAGATTTCATGAACTCCATAATCAACGAGAATCTGGTGCAGGCGAAACGTGGCGGGGTGCCAGGCACTGTACCCCTGGTCAAGAGCTTCGTGGGTGTCAAGGTACAAAATCTGAGGGATTTGGAGGACACCATGATGGAGGACAAGCCGTTGTGGCCTTTAGTGTATTACTGTATGCGATCCGGGGACTACAAGGCCGCGTTGCAGTGCCTGAATCAATGCGGCACAGAATTCCCGGAATTCAAAACCGCACTCGAGGAAGCTTGCGACGATCCGCAACATCATCCGGGCAGTCGCGCCGAGTCCATCCTGAAGCTGCACTACAGGAAGCAAGTGCGATCCGTCACCGATCCGTACAAGAGAGCGGCGTATTGTGCGTTGGTCCCTTGTGAGCTGGACGATTTGCACTCCGAAGTGATATCCACGGCCGACGATTATCTGTGGCTGAAGCTGTGCCAAGTGAGAGATCAGGCGGACGTTGAGAATAAACTAACATTGGATTATCTGCAGACTACAATTTCGGAAATATACGGTAGTACAAATTTTTTTAGATAGATTCGATGTGGATCTTAGAGTTTTTCGTAAATTTTAATCGATGCAATTTTTAGGAGAAACTTATTATCACGCGCACGAACAGCCGTTTTTGTACTTCTCGATGCTGTTTCTGACCGGACAGTTTGAAGCGGCGATAGAATTCTTAGCCACGGGCGCTGGAGCGAGGCACTTACCGCACGCTGTCCATCTGGCAGCCGCTATGCACGAGCACAATTTGTTGGCTGTCAGTCAGAGCGTCTTGGCGCCGCTGATAAGCGTGGACCCCGCCGACAAGCCGCCAGCAAAAAGGCTGAATTTCGCTAGACTGATATTGTTGTACGTTAAAAGATTCGAATCGTCAGACCCGAAAGAGAGCCTTCATTATCTATTTTTATTGAGGTAGGATTCCTGATCTCGTATTTGAAATCGTTAAATTATAAGCGCGATATCACATTGTGATGCTTTGCTTTCAGATGTATGAAGGATCCGTACGATCGTAATATGTTCGCCGCGTCTGCCGCGGAAATGGTGGTGGACGCTTCCCCTGCGAATCGCGTTTTGTTAGTCGGCAAGCTCGACAAAGACCGCAGACTTCCAGGGATCTTAGATCAGTTCCAGATCAATACGGACGACGTGATAAATATATGTGCCGAAACGTTGTACAGGAAAGGCCTGCTGGAAGACGCGGTCATGATGTACGATCTAGCCAGGAATCACGAGAAGGTTCTCAGCTTGATGTGCACGCTTTTGACGCAAGTTGTTAGCCAAAGAGGACCGCCCGGCTCTCTGAGAGCGCGATTACAAGTCACGGCGATGGATATCAGTACAAGGTATACAAGTTACGCGACTGCGTCGCTCAAGTATCCTCGAATTTCGGAAGCTTGTTATTCACGCATATCTTCTTTCAGATACAAGGACATCGCAATTCAAGCGCCTTCAGAAGTAGTGTCTTCATTCTATACCTTGAGGGACCTTATGGTTTTCTTCGATCAGTTCCACAACGAGCAATATCAGAGCGCGCTCAGAGTGAGTACATTTTTAAGAGAGCAAATAAGTGAAAAATAATGTGTTTAGAAGAGAAGGTTTAAATGACACTGTTTCTCTCAGACAATTGCGGATTCGAAGATGTTGCCTCTTCAACTAAAGGAAGTCGACGAGAGAGTGACCGCCTTACGTCGAGTATCGCCCGAGGTGGCTGGCACATTAGCCGACGTTCTTCTGGCCACTATGACGATACTGTATCGTCAGTATCAGAAGCTGCGATCGGTCGAACCAGGTGATAAGATCGCGAGGGAGCAGCAGTTGCACGATTTGCGGGAGCAAGCGCGAGCGTTGACGAGTTTCGCGGGAACGCTGCCGTATCGTATGCCAAACGAGACGAACAGCAAACTTGTACAAATGGAGATTCTCATGCATTAGAATCAAATGCGAAACTTATATTTTAGGTCTGAGAATTTAAAAGATATAGTCTATACATTTGCTAGTTAACTTTATTTAAAAGGTTTGTTTTTCTATTGTATATCATAGATAAGTATTAGCAAAAATTTTTAATTTAAAAGTGCAAGTGTGGCACGTATACCATGGAAGCAGTGATTGACAGAAGCGGGCTTTCAAAGATCCAACAGTTCGATTCAGTTTCAAGTATTGTATTATATAGGATGCAAGAAAGACTCAGTACGATACTCGAATTATTTTTGTATTTCTATTTGTAAATGTACGTGATATACCGAATGTAGACTTTTGCAAATACATAATCCATTAATTTAATAAATACTGAACACAATGATTGATTTATTTGAATATTCCCGGTTTGTATCACAATTTAATCCCGTTTTTACTCACTCATATTACATCCTCTAGCTTCCATCTGAAAGACTCAGTGCTAAAATTATTTGTACTATCTCGGTGGATCCTTGCAGTCTTCCAAATTACAGGATTTCAAAGACGTTACAGATATCCCACAGCTGAGATCTGCAACCTTGCCTTCTTTCACCTGCAAAGAATCCTTCGTTACACGCACATGGGAAATGTGAAAAAGAATGACGAATGATCTCATACATACCGCTCTATAATCCAGGAACATTTCCTTAAAGGCCAAGAAATCCGTTATCGTTGACAATACCTCGAAGACTTCACCTTCCAGCTCCGTTTGCTTCTCGCTGGATTATCATCGCGTCGTGCAAGCATGCGGAAATGTAGAAGTTTTAAATAAAAGTTCACGAAACTAATCTTACTATTGATTATGTTCTAGTTATAATCACTTTAATTGGTGCAAGAGAACGTCTATTGTGAACTGCGGCATGACTTTCGTTAGATAATCAACAAAATACGTCTCCACGGCTTTATTCTGAAATTTATAAAAGCTCGTCAGCAGAAAATCAGCAGGAATTCGATGGATTTCCAAACGTTTCCCATAAAACTCACGTATTCGTTGAATATATCGGTGTAAATTAATTTGTTGTCTTCCACCGGTTCGAAAACGTCCCAATACTTTTCCAAAAATTTGTGCTGAAGGGCCTGAAAGTCCTCCTCTGGAAGATCGATTCGTTAAGTTCATGAAATGCCGATTAAGGCCTCGGATCGATCAACGATCGGGTCACAAAACTCTATCGATTAAAAACTTATTTCTTCGGAATAATCAGTTTTACCTAACAACAAATCCTCGATATGACCGATCACTTCGTCGAACGAACGATCCTCCTCGCTCCTCGAGATTCGCTTTTCGTCCTCCGGACTGGACAAACTCGGCTCGTCTGTTTGAAAAATTTATTTCAATAAAAAATAGAATAGCAAGTTATTATATATTTTAGTATATATATTTATTTTAGCGTTATTGAACTGCGTTATTGGAGCTCGTCGCGGCAAGCATTAAATCTCACGAAATTCGAGTAAATACAATTCTTGCGGATACGAACCCATGCTTCTTTTCTTTTTACAATTATCCTAAAAAACAAATAAGGCACTCGTTTAAGCCACAAGATAGAATCGCCTCAACCGTGAGTTGACGGCGTTTCCCGTCGAATTGCACATTAATTAATACAGTTGCCGGAACGACGGAGGCGATCGTTTTATCGATCAGAATTTCCGAGAGGTTAGGTTTAGTTCAATGAAAAAATGCATGTAGAACAATTGATGCATTTGGGGGAAGAAGATAAGCTTTATTTTACTTGTACCGCGACATATTGGATGTAAATCAAATGTCAAAATATTGCGTGCGTTATTGCATATTTATACATGCATGCAAATTATTGTAAATACAGAGAGACGTCCGAGATTGGATATGCCTGCTAAAAAGATGGCCAAATCGCATTCTGCGCCTCTATGTTCATGAAACGTGCACAGTGAACTTACCTTACATCCGACGGATAACAATACATGCTTTGCAGATAACACAGCTATAATTTGGTTCTGTTTCCTGCTGCAGCTACATCGCCTAAATCCATTTTCTGACATTGTCGAGAAAATCATAACGTCGAAAATGGATGTGATTCAAGTCTGTGATACATCCACAATAAATAAAATGTATGCGTGTCCGTACTACTTATAGAGCCGGCAGGAATGAGAGATACATTCCTATCTTAAAATTGCCGTGTTACCTGCGTTGAAG